GAACTATTTCGACATATATATTAGTCATTTATGCCTTCCAATACTCAAAATAGCTGCTATATTTTCCAAACATTTTTTTGTTAATAACTTTTTAACGAATAACGACCACCGGCTAAAAACTTATGAAGGTCACTCAGGAGGGTGACCTTGACAACATATGTCAAGGTCAAAATAATCCAAGCTGTGTTAGTTATTTTATATAATTACCGTTTTAAATTTGAATTCTTTTCACAGATGTAAAAACCAATGGGTCTTCGGTAATGGATGGAGTTGATATAAAAACCATGAATATAATACTCCATAAGGATCTTTCGTCAAGAGATGTAACCACTATCGAGTCAATTCAGGAGCAACAAATTCAGGATGTAACCACTGTCGAGTCAATTCAAGAGCAACAAATTCAGGATGTAGCCACTGTCGAACCAATTCAGGAGCAACAAATTCAGGATGTAGCCACTGTCGATCCAATTCAGGAGCAACAAATTCAGGATGTAGCCACTGTCGAACCAATTCAGGAGCAACAAATTCAGGATGTAGCCACTGTCGAGTCACTTCACGAGCAACAAATTCAGGATCATCCGGTGGCACATTGTGCACCTGATGTGTGTGAACGTCACTTTCACTTTTCACAAGTCACTTTTAACTATGGTAAGTAAAATCGCATTTAAATAGTAACCGTAAAGCGCGTTTTTCAAAGTTTTCATTCGTCTCTGTTTTCATAGGTACTCCTGGAAAAATTACGGACTCTACCTCGATACCATGGCCGTGGACTGTCGGTGAACTAAGCACCGATATCGGCAGTTTTCTGTTCACATACGCTATAACGAAGATGGAAAACGACGATAAATTCCCGGTTGTAGAAAAAAGTATACAGCTTTGCGCCAACAAAGAACTTCGCTACTTCGTGTATGGAAGTGTCGTTAAGGTACACGGATGTAAACTCCCTCAAATCTTGGAGGACATTGCGTCGCTACCGCAAGCTTTGAAAAAGTTTCAAAATATAAATGTGTGCAACGGTCTCGGCACCATCAACGTTCATCATCTGTCGGCGGATAGTGCGTTTAAAGATTATGTCGATTGATGGCGTTCCAAAAACTGCACATTGATCTCAAAACGGAAGAGATGTGACCACTGCAGGAACATGAGAAACGTAGTGCACATGAAAGAAGCGAGATCGAAAACGAAAGTATCGTTAAAACGTGTATGTCGAGTTTCCAATCCGATAGATCAAAGGAAGTTAATCGCGCTGCGCAAAAAATGTTTCCGTGAAAGACAGCAGAAGAAAACAGCCCAGAAACGCATACAATTATTACAAGAATCCTTGCAAAATAAAGCAACCGAAATTGCTTCGATTTGTGGCGAAACGTTGGTCGACAAATGCTCGAAATTAAATGTACCAACAAGTCAACAAACTGTACTCCGAGAAATAATCGCGGCTGCAGGGAAGCAAACGACAAGAGTCGGCGCTATGAGGAGGAGTGGATTATGCTATGTCTACTGATGAACATAAGATCACCAGGTTACTACGAGTTCCTCCGTAAGAATAACGTTTTACCACTGCCCTGTCATCGAACGATCCGCAGTTATTTCTCACTTGTCGACATGAAATGCGGTTTTGACGAAGAGTTTGCGAAATTGCTCGCAAAACATTTTGAGACGAAAACTATTTTGCAGCGACATGGTGTACTTCTCCTCGATGAAATTAACTTGAGGAAGTCAGTGGCCGTGTGTTCAAAAAACTTAACCTATGTTGGATTAACTGACTTCGGTAACGATGGGCCGCAATCGACTAACTTGAAGATCAAGCAACACATGGTCTCGTTCTCATGTTTCAGCCTCTTGCTGATTCATACACAACCAAACGCAGTGTTTGCTTCAAAAAATCCTGTAAAGAGTGATGAGCTTGCGAAGCTAGTTATTAAAGCTATTGTGTACCTGGAAAGGACCGGAGCGAAAATTCATGGAGTCATCGCCGACGGCGCATCGACGAACGCAAAGATGTGGTCCCTATTAGGTGTCTCAGGTTCGATGGAGGATACAAAAACGTGGTTCACGCATCCTGTAGATGACGACCGAAAAGTTTTCGTCTTCTCTGATGCGCCCCATGTCATTAAAAATGTTCGGAACAGGTTGTATAACAAGAAAAAATTGCGGGTAAGTTTTTAGAAGCTTATGATTGCTTTGAAAGTATTTTGAACCGTAAACAATGAAACTTAACAAATTTTTAAAAACTTACCTGAATGACGTGTTCTTGAATACCCAATCTAAAAAAAAAAAAATAATGAAATGTTAAGAAAGCCACGCAAAAGCATAACTCATTTTTTTTTATTACCTACCGTTATGACGCCTTCATTACTTGAAGGAAGAACTTATCTGACTAACGTATCTCTGGGAAATTGACCTGAAAAAAGATTAAGAAATATTAAGAGAATCACGCGAGAGTATGGCGCATTTTCTCATTGTTACTTACCCTCATAATGCCTTCGTTACTTGAAAGAAAAACTTGCTTGACTAACGTTTCCCTGGAAACCCGAACTAAAAAGAAAAAAAATTTTGAGAAAGTAACGCGAGAGTGTAACTTACCTGATCGCAATGAAATTAATGTTTATGTGTTCAATTCCGCAGGTTAAATTGTCCAACAATTACATATGTTGGGATTACATTGCAGCTCTATTCAACCTTGACATCCAACATGCTGGGAATGCGAGGGCCTGTCCAAAGTTAACACAACGGCACGTTGTGTTAAACAGCACTTTGAAAATGCGCGTTCGACTTGCGACACAGGTAATTTATGTTCCACTTACGTTTTCACTTTTTTTAAATAGTTTGCCCATTTCATGAGTAATGTGTTTTGTATTTGCACTGTTACAGGTTTTTAGAAACTCTGTGGTACAAGGGTTACATTTTTATTTACGCTATAATCCGGAAGGACCTCTGAAAGGATGTGAGAAAACAATCGGGTTCTGTAAGCGAATGAATGATATGTTTGATGCGTTGAACCGCAAAACTCCGAATGAAGGGCTTATTCCAGAGAGTAAAGACTTCAAGGTATGCATATGATGCTTCTCGAAAAGTTTACCATAAATTATTGAAAATTTATTTATCTTCGTCGACAATTGCTTTCGTATGTACAAGCGTTATCTTCATCTTATAACTTCAGGTATTGCAAGAATCTCTTGAATGGTGGGAGACGGCATTGCAAAAAGGGGAGATAACGGCTGATGAATATTTAACAAGAGAGACTTCGAAAGCGTTGCGAATATCTCTGTGATCTACTATGGATATGTGCTGTTATCTCATCGGAAAATTTGATTTCCAATATCTATTAACAGGAAAAGTTAATCAAGATAACTTGGGAGGTACTTTCCAATTTATAATGACTTTTTTAATACAATAATTACTTGCAATAAATAAATGTACATGTACGTACGATTTTTCTAGAAATTCTTTGGCACCATTTGTCAAGCCGCAGGGTGTAACGATCACCCACACAGCGCCACGTTCTTGCAGCTGTATAAAATATTGTCGGTGTATAGCATAATAAAGCCTCCAAAATTTGGAAATTGCACTGTGTCCGAACAATCGTCGCCACAGCTTCTGCTGTCATTGCATGATTTAAAAACAGCCTATGGGCAAAAGTCTGAGGCGGAAAGTGTTAAGTATCAACGTGAAATTCGAGCGAAGCTAGACGAGATTCTGCAGCACGACGATGGGGAGGCAGATGACGTCATTGAGAATAATCCTGACCACGATTATTTCCTGTCCGATTCCCTTATCCTTGACTGTATTATTTACTACGTTACAGGTTTTTTATTTTAAGATTTATTTCTTATATCGTAGGTATTTTTGTATTGTAGACTGATATTGCTTCTCGTTTTCGCCATGAATTGCTATTGCATGCTTTAGTTTTGTTCATAGATATCATCGTAGACTAGAATATTTCTTCTCGTTGCATGTCATCCGGACATGCGACATACTCCTTTACATATTTATATGAGATTTACAGGTTACCCATGTAAGCAAGTATTGAAAATTCACAAAAAATGCGTTACTTGTCAAGAAGCGATAAAATCAGACTCTTCTAGTTCATCTTCAGTGTCGCATTTGGTCGATCTAAAATCAAGAGGAGGACTGATTCACGCAAATTTGAGTTTTTTCAACTTAATTCGTCACGTAGAGGCATGTTTTGCTAAATATGCATCCCGGCGCGATGCAAAGAGCACGCCTCAGACATTTTGTCATATTCGATAATATATTACATACGACTAAGAATGAGACAAAATGCCCACCAGGAAAATCTCAAAGTTGCAAAGAAATTTGTTGTAAAAAAAAA